GCGGTTGCCCACATCATCACTAGATGTAATACTGCCGGCCACATTGGTTGCCCATACCATCACTAGCTGTAATACTGCCGGGCACGGCGGTTGCCCATACCATCACTAGCTGTAATACTGCCGGGCACGGCGGTTGCCCATACCATCACTATCTGTAATACTGCCGGCCACGGCGGTTGCCCATACCATCACTAGCTGTGATACTGCCGGGCACGGCGGTTGCCCATACCATCACTAGCTGTAATACTGCCTGCCACGGAGGTTGCCAATACCATCACTAGCTGTAATACTGCCGGCCACGGTGGTTGCCCACATCATCAACAACTAGCTGTAATACTGCCGGGCACGGTGGTTGCCCACATCATCACTAGCTGTAATACTGCCGGCCACGGCGGTTGCCCATACCATCACTAGCTGTAATACTGCCGGCCACGGTGGTTGCCCATACCATCACTAGCTTTATAATTACCGGCCACGGCGGTTGCCCATACCATCACTATCTGTGATACTGCCTGCCACGGTGGTTGCCCATACCATCACTAGCTGTAAAACTGCCGGCCACGGCGGTTGCCCATACCATCACTAGCTGTAATACTGCCGGCCACGGTGGTTGCCCATACCATCACTAGCTGTATTATTACCGGCCACGGTGGTTGCCCACATCATCAACAACTAGCTGTAATACTGCCGGGCACGGTGGTTGCCCACATCATCACTAGCTGTAATACTGCCGGCCACGGCGGTTGCCCATACCATCACTAGCTGTAATACTGCCGGCCCCGGTGGTTGCCCATACCATCACTAGCTGTATTATTACCGGCCACGGCGGTTGCCCATACCATCACTAGCTGTGATACTGCCTGCCACGGTGGTTGCCCATACCATCACTAGCTGTGATACTGCCTGCCACGGTGGTTGCCCATACCATCACTAGATGTAATACTGCCGACCACGGTGGTTGCCCATTCCATCACTAGATGTAATACTGCCGACCACAGTGGTTGCCCATTCCATCACTAGATGTAATACTACCGGCCATGGTGGTTGCCCACATCATCAACAACAAGCTGAAATACTGCCGGCCACGGTGGTTGCCCATACCATCACTAGCTGTAATACTGCCGGCCGAGGTGGTTGCCCACATCATCAACAACAAGCTGTAATACTGCCGATCATAAATAGGAACGGAACATTTAGATTGGCGCATGGAACACATGGCAGGAATAGTTTGAACATACAATCTGGCTCTTGCTTTACGTTTGTTGCATCACGCAATATGACGCCTGAGTAAGTAATTCGGCCTGGACCAGACATACACGGGCTTGAGGAACGTCCTCCGCCGTCGTGGTAGTACATGCAATCAACCAATCCACCCAGCTGACCACCCCAACCATTTAGTCGGCTTAAGACAAGCATAGGTGAGTGGGGAACTACTCTAACCCGGCATCACCACAGGAGGATGGGTGCAGCTACCTGGAACATGTTTGTGTGTTGTTAAACACCGCATTCCACCAATATTCCAGCTATATGACGTCGGTCTGTAAAAAATCGAGTCTGGACCAGACAATCCAGTGATTGACATCATGAGCATCGATCTACGCAATTGGGATACGATGACATGCATCAACCAATGCAGCGAGCCCGACCACCCAATCCCGTTTGTCGCCTCTTACGGCATGCATGGGTTGCTGAAGAATTATTATCTAGCCGGACCTTCACGGGTCTCCCTTCCAGAGGTATCTTGGCAATGATCAACTTTCTAAACCTCTTGCAATTTTGATATGAAACATGTGAATGTTTAAGCCCAATACATCCTGTCAGCCGGCTAAACTGTCATATATGAAGAGACTGTCATGTTGTTCATGTTTGTGATAGTTCATCGCTACACGTCAATGTCTACACACTATAGAACCCGTACATGGGCACATCCATGCACCTTAGATCAGGCAAGTGAACATACGTTCCAAATTCTTCAGCTTCCTGTCCCGTTAGTTCTTGCTCGGCATCTGGCGTTGGGAACCAATCTTGCACACGTCACTGAAACTATCAAAGTATTGTCCGTCATTATATTTCATAATGAAAACACCCCTTACGTTCTGGTATATCGCACCGGGAGACGAAACACCAATTACTCTTAATGTGTATGCACTCAGATTCCCACCGCATTTTCAAGGTTACTCTCATTCACGGCAAAAGTAAAACCATCAAGGTTTTCCGCCCATCTTGGGGACTAATGAACGATGGTGTCTTGAACATATGAACCAGAACCAGGGAGGCCACACGAGGCTGCACCAGCAACAACAGGGCTGCCCAATTACACACCCTTCCGGGTCCTCTAACACTCTCCAGTTTCTCCCAGGGGGTAAAGATTCCTCTTGGGAACACTTGTAGGGTTAACCCGAGATTAACCCCTGTCATCCTAACACACAACAAACTCTCGTGTGATCTTCCGACTGTCAACCACACACTTGCGGTAATTGATGACACGACATGGTTAGCACAAGGCTCGCTTTAATGAGGCAGGACTCCTATCTTGGGACCTTCCTGCTGCTTGAGTGCCCTCATATCTTTTACTCCATAAACTCACTTATTTCAAGTTTGTAGTAACATTTCAAAAATGTGTGTGTGACGCTGACTGCAACTGTTTGTGAAAAGAAACATGGGTGTTAAGAAAGTTCACGAACATCAGAAGAACATCCAGCGTTGATGTATATTACGAGCGTTGCTTATAAAAACATGCCTTTTAAAGTTACTCAAAGGAATGTCTGTAGGGGAAACCGATTGTGTACATATTGTACTTGTCATTAGATGGAAGACGAATACCATGTTTTCCTCATGTGATCTCAAAATAAAACAATCACAAAGTATCTTGCAATGAATATATATATATATATATATATATATATATATATATATATATATATATATATATATATATATATTGTAGATGTGCCGTAAAATGCGACTATGCTTGCTTCACTGGATTGTCTGGTCCAGACTCAATTATTTACAGACCGCCGTCATATAGCTGGAATATTGCCGAGTGCAACAAATAAACAAACAAACAAAGCATTGTAGATGTGATAATATTTACGATATATTTATTCCTATTGCACCCATTGATACTGTATGTATATATGTACTCTAGGGTTATATGACCATTTCAGTACTGCAAATAAAGATTGAAGTGTTATGTCAGTATGGTATGTCAGTGGGCTACCAGTAGTGAACGAGCATCAGTCAGGATTAGTAAAAACAGATATATATATATATATATATATATATATATATATATATATATATATATATATATACTCACACGCACACACGCACACGCACACGCACACGCACGTGGCCACATAAGAGCAATTATCTTGCCCGCGACGTTAAACCCCATTTTATCTGACCTCGTCTGTTTAAATATAACATTATATATATTCTCACAAATATACGTATATACGTAATACTAACTGTCATAACTAGAATAATGTGTCTAAAAAGCCGCATTACAAAACACGAAACTCACTCGCGTAAGGCTAACTGCCAAAGCCGACCCCTACCAACACTTGTGTACATACATTTGATATACAATTCATGTGCTACACCTGTTCTAGACAAACTATGCTGAACTAAGTCTCACCGTGTAAGTACAATATATTAAGACACAAATATTAAAGTAAAGCATATCGTGACATAAAAGCATAACAATTACACACACACCATTCCAAAATGGAATTACGAGAGGTTGTTTTCATAAACAATATACACAGAGAATTTCGTATACACAATACGACATAATTGGTACAAGATTGAGTATGTTGTCAGTACTGTCCACCGTTTTAATATGCCATTAAACTTGACCACAGCTTGATGGCAATAAAGTCTATGACCGTTCGTCGCCAAGGCGTGCAGCGCTGGGATATAACATGTGTGCGTGTCGCTCAAGAGTGGCTAAATTAGCAAGTTTAACCATGAAGTGCTCGCACCATCCACTATGAGAACTACAGCATATTTCGTCGATGATAAATGACTGGTATCCGGAAAGTGTTTATATAAGATATTTAGAACCCTCCACAAATGACGGCAATACCCATAACCTGACCTGTGATACTAGCAACGTTCCATTATAATAAATATTGTTACAGTTTACATATTAAATATTCAAGCCTTGGTTGTCTTGTTTCATATCGACTTGGAATCCTCATAAACACAATTAGATTCTGTTAAAAAAATATATTTCGACGTAAGTATTCGTTTTAACATTTTAAATGGCCGTTTTGATTATCATCAGAAAATGCATATATACACAAATAAGTTTTACCTTTTCCCGGAAAGTGAATAGTGATCCCTTTTATTCGCACATTAATGATTTTAATAATAATAATGATAATAATAATAATAATAATAATAAAAAATAATAAAAATAATAAAAATAATAATGCTTGTATTTATATAGCGCACAAACGGCACAAAACTATGTGTTTACTGCGCTTAAAATTGATAGTGTTTGTTAGAAAGGTGTAGAGTTATAGAGTAAGTCGACAGAACAAAAAGACAAAACATAATAACGTAAAAGAAATGTCTGCTGCCATACGGTGAACGCACATACAGAAAACTGATAGTTGAATGTGTCTGATGAAAACACACGCTTCATATTTTTGTGGTATTTACAGTAATAGAAAAGATCCCCCTTCAGCAGGTTTTCCCTCCCGTAGACTGACAGAGCCTTGTATACCGGCACAAGAATGTTGGAGTGTTTTAGGAATGCGGGCATGCCGTCAGCTATTGACTTTTGCCCACTGGGTCTCTCTCAAGTATTTGTAGGGCTTCTTTAATGCCAATCATTTTTGATTTCTTCCATTTTGTTAGTGAAGTAAATCCTCGTCCCAATCAATAGAGGTGTATATTTCAACCCCCTCCAGGTCCCCAGCGCGCTAATGCTACCTGCGCCGAGCAGGGCACGTGCTGAAATAATACTCTTCTACCTGGGCATTACAGAGCATGGGAACAGGAGACCGAATGTTCAGTTCAGTTCTAAACTCGTCCTGGTTCATAATACAACTGATTTATATGTGCAGTTAATTAGTTCTGACAGAACAGATACGCACTGGGACCGAATGACTAGGCTGAAGTCTTAGGCAGGGAAAAGGTAAAGGCTCACACTTATCTGCACTCTATCAAAGGTTCGTGTGGTGTGATCAGCGGCTATAGTTGTGTATGCAACTGTTAATTTATTCAATGTACTGGGTGTATCCATGCACGATATAACACGATCGAAACATTCAACTTTGTAAGTTAGACAGGTACGTAAATTTGTCAGCCGATGGATGGTAGAAGCCAATAATATGCATTGATCGCTGAGCTGTCGGCTGCCGACTGACGGAAAGCAACACATGCGGTACTGATGCATCATTGTACTTACCTGTTGATGTCGTTTATTACAGACACAACAGCACGGAATTCAGAGGAAATGGTTGAAATGATAAAGAAAAGGGTAGTGGATGTTAACAGCCAAGCTGTGACGTTGTGTGTTTAGACAGGGGCGACTGCGTGATATAATACCCCTGCAGATTCAGTTCACGCCATTGGGCTCTCATAAACCAGCAATTACCTCTTGTGATGCGATCTCTAAACTTCTTTGCGAAGGAGCAGACTTGTGTTGCTAGACTTCCCGCCAGTCAAATAGGTCTTGTACTAGGCACTGACAGTGCTAATATTTCTCCCCTTCTCGCTGTCCCATTTGGCTGGTCGATGCTTGCCGAGGGTGCGCGCTCCCACAGTAGATCGTGACACAGGTAATAGTAGAAATCAGGCGAGCGCTCACCCCGACTCCCTCCCAACAAGCAGACGAGAATACAAGGGAAAACAGACCCGGATAAAGCGCGCGCGGTGATTGACGTTGATGTGTTGATTGACAGGTCTGAAAAGAGAGAGTGTGAGGGATAGACAATAATTGGGCAAAAACGCAGCTAAAGAAATAATCGAGCAGGCAAATGCGAGTGGAGAATCGCTGAAGGTAAAGGACTGACAAGCAGCGTGTTATTCTAACTGACGGAGGTTTACTAACCAAGCACGTGTCACTTTCGGCAGACGATGCGAAGGCACGCGAGCGAGCGAACGTGGCAGACGATGGTTATGATGACGGAGAGACATTGTTTTCACGGGTGTTCAGACACTCAAATTTCCATCATGCTGTGAAAAGAAGAAACAACTACGCACATTTCGAACATTTTACGATTTTTCCATATTTTTTCAATATGGATATTTCCAATAGGAATAAAACCACTTATTCTTGAAGATTCCAATTTCTGAGTGGAGAGGCCCATTCCCGCTCTGTGACATTTCTTATTTATCTTTTCCAACACTACACATCCATTGAAGGAGAGTGTCTACCTGAGATGTCGCTGCAGGAGTTATGTTTACGAGACACACGCACCCTGTCAGTGAGAAGGAATGATGTGTGACAGAATTCAATGAGGCATAAAAACTTTGAATTCATGCAAGTGAATGGATTCTAAAGGATATCCATGGAAACAGCTGTTGGAGTTAGGTTCCATTTTTGCCAAAGAATGACATACCTGCCCATGTTACGAAGCACTGTGTGGATTGTATACACGACTGTCACTGTGATAAGCCTGCTTGCTAGTGTCTGTGATGGGATGCAGTGCCCAACCTGTGACAAAATCCACTGTTCTCCCCGCAAAGCTTCCAGACTCAAATGTAAAGGCGGCATCACAACCGGTATCTGCAACTGTTGCCCCGCATGCGCTAAACTGGAGGGGCAAAAGTGTGGTGGAGATTTTAACTACCTAGGGAAGTGCGATAAGGGATTGTATTGTAAACCCCAAAAGAAGAACATCACAGTATTCATCAGAAAAGATCCAGTGGGGACTTGTCAAAGAGGTAAATGCTACTGGCGCAAGAGTGTTTTTGTTTATCGTCGTTTTTCAATACATTTCAAGACATCCAGAATGATCGCTTTAAGAAGTAAAATTGTTATCACCCTTCAGTGATTGGTAGTTCCAAAACGAAAAAGTCTGTTTTTAAAACAGTTTATATTCATACCATATTTTCAGAACATAATGTCACCTGAACAATAACAACTGCATGGTTGTCTAGGATGTGTTGTGGTTTCTATGTCGGACTGCACGTCCTGTATGACGTTACATGCCAGTGTGGGGGTCGCCCTGTTTCTTCTATTCATTCTTCAGGAAGCGTATGTTATGTTGTAGACACTTTTATACCGACATCACTCCTTCAAAAGCAGATTTATTTGGATTTTATTTGTTTTTAATTACCATTCATGCTGTGTTAAATCTTACGCATTGTAAAAATGTCATTTAAATGTCCCTTGAAGCGGGATGGAATTCTTTGTTTTCGCGGGTAAACCAGAGCAATCATTCTAATCTGTGAGATTATTTAACCCCACTTCCACCGAGGGACAGCCCCGCCAATGATGAGCTTGCCCTCGCTGGACCAACAGCGGTAGATGACCACTCAACATCCTATACACTTTCGCAATGAGCTTGTTATCATTTTAAAGATCAAAATGAAATAAGTGGGACATACAGACGGTTTTAACTTCTTCTTCTTATTATATAAAATAATTATGCGTAAATTAAAAAAAATAAAGTAAATTACAAATCGAACATATTGCATTATTTAATTTATTTTTTTTATGGTGATGCTAGACGTTGTCAAATTATCAATTCTATTAAGCTCCCCAGATCACTTTTATAATACGGCGTTTAATGTTAATGTCTAGATACAGGAAACCGTGTGGACTGACATATAGTCCCCTAAATACAGTTATGTAAACCGAGGGACAAACGTAGTATACCGAGAGTTTTATGTAATTCAGAATTGGAAGACCTGTTGTTAAGCTTGATTATGTCTATTTCACCAACTCGTTCCTGCAACAGTTTTTAAAAAATAATCGTAGGGTAAATTTTTTTATAAAAATAAACTGTTTCAATGAAGAATGGGGGTGAGGAACGAATGCATGTGCCACCACACGATATCTACATGTTTGAAATGTAAATTTGTGCCGAAAAAAGCTTATTTATTGCTTTTCAAAGATAAAATGTTTAAATGTACCCATCATCAGTTGCATATTGTGCCATTTCTTTTACTTTTTAAAAGTTTTGTAGCAAACTTCCTTTTTACGATTATAACCAAGTGGGAGTTGTCTTCGAGTGCTTACTAAGCGTCAGTACAGTTTAGTCTATTTGTCTATAGAATATCGCTAACTTAAGATATTTTCAATTGAAAATCGAACATGATAAAATCAACTGAGAGCTATAGTTTCTTTTGTCTCTCAGTTTATCAGATAAAATCAATCAAAAAAATATTTACATGAAGGAGTTCACTAGTATTAAGGAATTTCCCTCAAGTCTCAGAGAGCTCTAAAGGAGATGAGCATATGGACTGCTTGAGTTAAGAATGGCATGCATGGAGTTGATTGTTTTATGAAATATATGCTTGGGTTTCTGTAAGAGAGACTGGTAACTGTAAATGATGCTATACAACGTAATAGGTATTGTAACCGCCATGCTACTGTCCGAGGACGAGCGCCACCGAAGCATCTATAGTCGCACATTGTACTAGCGTGTGCCAGTTACTGAGGTAATGTTGTTCTCAAGACGAAGATTTGAACACGGAACACCGGGTGATTGTTAACAAAACAATTACAACTATTTATATTTGATTCTGGTTCCAAAGCCAAACCGTTTCCTGCAACCGTTTTTATGTAAACGAAACTCAAATGATAGGGGAAATAAGTCAATCTAAAACATATGGCCCTGCGCGTCCTTCCGAAAATAAACGTAATTTTGATATCTTCAGATGTGTTTGGTATCCGCTCCTCGCCTCTCTAACACTGAACAAACCCGACTGATTAACGGTTTGGAGAAGCCATTATGAACAAGCGGTTGCAAGTATTTATAACCAATTTGCAACAAGGTTATTCACATCTTAACATGGTCCGTCATTTCGTTTCATATTTTTTTTCAATTCAGTTGTTCATTCTCATATGAAAACTGTTGTTCGTGTTTATAAGGCATGCGGGTGACGGAAACGTGATTATACTGATTCACATTGTCAAGCAAGACTATTATCATAGTACGATAATTATTACAAATCATGTTTAGATCGTTGAGTTTCATTACTATTTTGGATACTAATGACAAAGTATTAAGTATAATTACCGTCTTGTCACATTTGTTGCGAACCCTGTAAGATCCCTGTCTTCAGCAACCCATGCGTGCCGTAAAAGGCGACAATGCTAACGGGATCGGGTGGTCAGGATCGCCGACTTGGTTGATGCATTTCATCGTATCCCAATTGCGTAGATCGATGTCAATCACTGGTTTGTCTTGTCCAGACTCTATTATTTACAGACCGCCGTCATATTGCTGTGTGCGGCGTTAAACAACAACAAACAACATTTGTTGCGATATTTCGGCGTAAATTCCAACACCGTTATAAAGCAGGTGATGGAGCCAAAAAGGAGAGGAGCACTGTGTTATAATACATCACTTGAAGCATAAGCTGTTGCACTGTGGACACAGGGATTAAAATAGTGTCAGTATCAACTTCGTGGCCTCTCCTGGAAGTATAACATAGCTAATTAATTAGGCACATGATTAATTAACATTTTCAAATTGAAATTCTTCAAGTGACCAACCTTGTAATGTATACAATCTTTCCAGTTAAAAGAATTTAATTTCTGCAAAATACGACCAAGGATTGTACCAGTTGAGGCGGAATATTGCCATCCTTCTTAATCCTCATCTAAATAATTACATCACACCACGAAAGGCGCCGTTATTAAATCATCCTTCGAAAATAAATTAACTAAACTGAATTACTTCAGAAATAATGTTTGACAAATATTATGAATAGTATACGAAACCTTACTAGAAAACTAAGTAAATCAATTCCTCGGTACCCCTGACACGCTTCCAACAATTTCCTATTTGATATACTGCAGAAATGATTAAATTACATGTTGACGGTTGATGAGCCGTAACGTGCGTTATACGTTCTCCACTATGCCTCGTTTACTGTTATTCGTGCCAGGTGTGGATATTTATACAGCGAGTAAAGAAGTATGACATAAGTAAATAAATCAGAATATCTATATATGTAAATATTACTGTAGCAAACTTGCTTAATCGTTACCAAATGGCTTATTCTGACATTTTGCTATGAAGCCCTACCTTTAAACCTTATGGTGTTCTATGCTTTCAGAACAGAATTGTGTTAATATTCTGAGACGTTGCATGGGTTATGAGATTATTTATCAGGGCTTATTCTCAGACTGAGGACGAATTTCAGATTCTTTTAAATTACACTTTAATGGACGGGGGAGGGTGGTTTCTCATACAGACCCTGAAACAAATATACAATACAGCCAATGCAAGTCTATAATATTCGGCAAGTCTAGATTACACCAGTAAATGAAGAAAGTCTCATATCTTTTTTATCATATCTAATAACTATAATTTAAAAAACCCAAAAATCTGTAAAATATGTTCATTGCAGAGACTAGATGTTAGTCTTTTCGGAGATCAACATAGGGTGTAGGGCACTAGTATAGATATGAGTAAATGAACGCTTCTAACATGTGCTGTTGTCCGCTACAGTTATCAAATTCCTGTAGGTTTCATATATGTCTGTGACAAAACGCCTGTACAGTTTACAGAATAACTTGGCAAATGTGCTTTACAATGCATATATAAAACACGTATGTTGTCAGTGACACATCAAACAAACTTTGCGTACATAAAATGCGTGTTCTACTTGGCAATGCGGATGTAGTACCTGGGGCGGTTTGTCAGATCAGCTGGGCATCATGGCGAGGTGAGATTTCAAGGAAGTCATGTACGAAACTGACAATACTAATATATCAACTTTACCGTAACTGGCATATATTTGATGTTAACTTGAGCAGTTCTTTGATGGCACACATCCCTGTGAGAGAGACTCACCCCCAGGAGGCAGGTACACACAGGGCCGATCAACCCGCCCTGTCGGGACATCTCGCGGATCGGCATGTGCACTCACAATATGCTACTGTCTTTCTTCATTGACAAATATTTTCAGTGCATGAACTTATTACATGCCTGTTTCGGACGCCGAACTACGTGTGATCGATAGTATCATTATATACATGGAACAGCTCGGTTTGTGTACACCGTATGCACTAATTAAGTATTTTATACGACAACCTTAAATACTGAATAGATCCCTATACAGAAGTCTTAGTATTGCCATAACAATAACACACACACACACACACACACACACGCGCGCGCGCGCTAAAACGAAAGTTGAGTTATTTCGTAGTAAGTGAATTCGAAACAAGGGTACTTTTCTTGTATCTATATGTCACAGCAGTAAGTGGCTGGAACATGTGAAGGACAGAAAGATAGACTAAGGAGCCACATCAGCAGTAATCTGATTTCACAGTTTTCGGTGCATTACGTAATATTGCTTGGCATAGACACGTGTAGAGAAATAGAAAACCGCGACCTGCATTATTCCTGAAGTCGGGTTTCAACCAATAACGAAAGGAAAGCTGAGACAGAGCAGAATCAAGTCAAGAGCTCTCGTAAAATTTGTTTTTTAAATGTCTAAATGGATGACCCCACGCTTTGAACCCCCTGTTGTTTGCGTTCTTCGTTTACATGGGCCACTATAGCCCTCGGCAGAAAGGTGCATGTAATGGTGACACCGCACGACAACAGTCTCACAACATACATACATATATTCATGTACGGCAACTAGGATTGACTACATGTCTTCATGGTATACACGGATGTGGAACTATATGGACGGTTTCACGATGCGATGTAAACCGCTTTACGTGACAAACTAAAAAAAGTGGATTTATAGGGAGC